TATAAAGATAACTTGAGCCCTATTGTTCTGGCAGAGATAAAAGAGCAGTGAAGACAGAGTCCTTGTCCTCCAGTGGCATCTAGGTGACCAGAAGACAGAGAAGTGACCACTTGAGAGCAAGGGCCCGTCACAAAGAGCTGTCAGGGACAGCTGTCAGGGACGTCAGGGTTGTGTCCTCACTATTGCAGAGCGCCCATCACTGCACCATCATCCCGTCACAGGAAAGAAGGGCAGATTTCCTAGGGACATGGTCACCCAAGGCACCTCTGTCTTGTGATGAAGTGAATGATCAACCAAGACTGACTAAATTGATACCTTTCACTCTTGAAGGGTTTTTTGCTGAAGGATGAACTTTTTTTTTTAACCTTTATTTTATTTGTTTATTTTTACATGGTGCTGAGGATCAAACCCCGGGGCCTCGCACATGCTACACAAGCGCGCTCTACCACTGAGCCACAACCTCAGCCCCAAGGATGAACTTTTCATCAGACTTAAACCAGGGATGAGGCACGCAGGCCTAAAAAGACGGGGTCACCACATGCAGGGGAAATGACTTCAGAGTCTTCTATTTAGAAATCTCAGTTTTCCCCATTGTAATACTTTATGCATCTAAAAATTGTAACTGCAATGATGAAATAATGTTATGTTTTGACATGAGCCAAAATAAAAACAAGCCTCATGCTTCTAAAATGCTGAGCACGTTAATCAGAACCTTACAAAGGCTTGGGTGCTTCTTGAGGAAATGAAAAGTGCAAATTAAAAATATCCACTTAGTTGTTGCACCATTAAGCCTCAACAGCTGGCCTGCTATGCCGACATAGGGCTCTGCAGTGTTGGTAACTGGTGACAGCATTGGTAATGGGTCATTGGGTCAGAGTGAGGCTCACAAACGCAGCTGTCAGGTGAAGAGCCCTCTCCTTTGCATTTCATTCTGAAGCTGGTAGTGATTTCTCTTCTGCCCAACAGTGGGACAGAGATGCATGTGACCACCTACAACCAAATGTCCTCTGCAGTCTGGGCCCAGGGGCCACAGAGGCTCTTCTGAATCTCACTGGGCTGCAGCCCTCCAGTGGAGTCCTATTGGTCTTCACCACCTCCCCTGCCCTCTACGGAAATCTCAGGCTGTGACATCCCAGTGGCAAATGTGGGGAGAAGCCTGGGGCGGAGTGCCTGGATGGGGCAGCCCAGTGTGGAGGAGCGACACCCCATCCCTGGACCTAGATCTGTGCTGGCAAAGATGCAGTCAAGGTAAAATAGTAACCACTGTGGCACTGGCACTGGCAGCGTGCCAGCACAGTGCATGCTGACACCTGTGAGCTTTTCATTGTTTAATCACACACACACACACATACACACACACACACACACACACACACACACACGACCCCTAACTGCTGCACATTTCTGGTGAGATGCCACTTTCCTTTAAGACTCTTTAAAATCCAGCTCTTAGCAGATGGGGGAGGAGAAGATCCAGCCCAGCAATGAGGGAAGCAGTCAGGGACTTCCCAGTGTAGGGGACACTTTAAAAATTGTGCCATTCACAACAGCAGTATTAGACTTTCAAAATCTTCTAACCAAAATAGGTTGCATGACTCACAGACCAAGCCCAGCGATCCCGTGAACAGCAGTCCTCAAGCCCACAGGTCAGGTGTGATAACCAGCACTGACTTGGGAGTTCATTGGGAACAGATGGTGCTGCTCAACCTGGCCAGTCTCAGACAGGGCAAGACCCCAGGCTGACGCCCAATGGGCCATCTCTGCACCTCAACTCAGCCTTCTGTCCCAAAAGGCTGCATGGTCTTGGAGCCTCTCCCGATTGCAAGGTCTGCAAATTGCCTTGGCAGGTCAAACTCTGTTATCTCATCTAAGGTTTCCCTGTAAACCACTGTAACATTGTTACAAAGTTCCCCAGCATAGGACTACAGGTTCTCCCCATAGCAGCTGAAGCACAGTCCTCATACCCCAGTGCTGGTCCTGAGCGCTCCCTTCCTTGAGAACCTCAGTTAACTCCCATAGCTCTTCTCTGCGAGCCCCTTACAAACGTGTTCATACCATGGAGCACAATGTTCCACAGGACTCAGGCGCCCTGTGGCGCAGCCTGGGACACTCTCTGCTCGGTTGTACAGGCCCCAGAGCTTACGTCAATCATTCACACAGAAGCTCTTTTGTGATGGGCCCTAGTCAGTGCCTTGGGAACTCGCTGTGCCAGCTCCAGCCTCTTTTTCCCCTGAGGGAGATCAGCACATAGGCCACTGTGGTTCTGCTTTCTCAAATGTATCCATTGCTTGTATCTTCAACTCGTATTTATCTTCTTCATTGTATTTTATGGGCAACCTGTAAGCAGAAAGCCTGGGAGGAATGATGGTGCAGTATCATTCAGCATCCTAGCAGCTCAAGGGGTCACTGAAGAGAACTAAGCCACTGCTATCTAGAAAGCCAGCATGGGATGATGAGGCCAGGAGCATGGGAAGCCTCAGGGTCCCGCAGAAAGAGGCTCTTATCAGTGCAGGCACGGGGAAGTGTGGCTGTGAGCTCAAAGCAGCAGCTTTGCAGAGCTGGAGAGGCAAAATACCCTGTGGAAGGACCCATCAGGACACCCACTCCCGCCACCTCCCCAGGGACCCAGCCAGCAGGAAGCAAAGGGCCAGGCAATCAAGGGAAAAAAATGGGCCATGCCGAAAGGGGAAAAAGGGTGACAGAAACAGCAAGGAAGCAGTAAGACAGACCTGTGCTGTACCTCTTCATCACCATGTCCCCTCTGTTCTGGAACATCTGTACCGTACTGGCCAGTGGTCTTCCTCCATCAAAGGACAGATCTGGGGTTAGGAGTCCTGCACCAGAAGGCGACCTGCTCACAGCACTGTGGCTTTCGAAACTAAACCGTGATATGTTACTCTTTCCTGAATGTGACTCTATTCCTAAAACAGTATTTTCCTGCCACTATTCATAAATATTAAAGGAGAATTCGTAAGTACAAGTTCCTGCTCCTCTGCACACTGATGGACTCAGAGAGGCTACTGATATCAGGAAAAAAAAAAAAAAAAGAACAGAGCCCATGATTCTTCTCCATGGTTCCAGGAGAACCCAGACCTTATGCCTAGGGTGAGAGGCTCAAATCCCATCTGCTCTGGAGGGTGTGAGCTCCACTTGGGATGGATCCCAGGCCACAGGCTCAAGACCCATCTACCCTGGAGGGTGTGAGCTCCACACAGGTAGGACCCCAGGCCACAGGCTCAAGTCCCATCTTCCGTGGAGGATGTGGGCTCCCATTCAGGATGGACCCCAGGCTACAGGCTCAAATCCCATCTGCCCTGGAGTGTGTGAGCTCCACTCATGCTGGACCTAAAGCTGCACAGCTGCTATGTGTCTGTAGTCCCTGAGCACTGCTCCTGGGGGAGGCAGGGGACATACACTAAGCCAGCAGCTGTCTCCTAGGGTGTCTGCAAGGGCAGTGTTGCCCTGGCTTTACTCGAAGGCCACTGCTCCACCTGCATCCTGTTCCTAGGCCACTCTTCCAGTGCTCTTCCCTGATCGGCTTTTCCATATCTAGATCTGAATCATGTTTCCATATCTGGATCTTGATCCCCATCTGGACACTTCCATAACTTGAACACACTGTTGCCTGTAGGTCCTTGGAAGTAAACGTTTGCTTAAAGCCATTCCATGACTGTATCTAGAAGATCATGTAAAATGTCAACAGAAATGACCCAAGAATGTGCTATGTCCAATATTCCATGTTAAACTACATGCTTTATGGTTCTGAAATATGAATTCTTCAGTTCAAGGTAATTTGTGTGATCTTGTGTTAGATGGGGACTTCCCAGGTACACTTCCCAGCCCTTTGTCCCTTAAAGTTCTCCCACCCATGGGGGTCAAGTCCAGGGAACCCCACCAACTGTAGGGGCTGCTGAGGCTTGGCTAGCGTGGCTGAGGGCCTGCCTAGGTTGAAGAGCTGACTGAGACTGCACGAGTAGGAGACAAGCCTGGATCCCAGAGAACCCAGACAGCCAGGGAAAGGGAGGAACTCCAGCCCTGGAATGCACAGGTCTCCTGACAGCCCTTGCACAGAGCAGGGGTGCTCCACAGAGGGGCATGGAACGTGCTGTTTTTGGTTTTACTTTTTCCCTATATTATAGTTGTTCACAATGGTGGGATTTGTTGTCACAAGTTTGTAATGCACACAAGGTAGGGAGAGGACCCAGGCAGAAAGGGAGATCCACCCAGGTCTAGTCAGCTGGGGATCAGGTCTGGAGGTTCAGATCAGGGGTCAAAGGAGTGTGTGGCTGAGCAGGGACCAGCCACCCTGCGACTGACCTCAGGACCCCATATATACTTCCCAAAGCTTGTCCCCAGCCCTGAGATTCTAAAACAAAGCCACCAAGAAGTCCACTCATGCAGGTGGCTGCACTCTTGGCGGCCATGTCTGGGTTTAGGTCACTGAGCCACCATGGCCTGTGCACAGCTCTCCCAGCTTCCCAACTGGCCTGAGCTCTCATTTCAGAATTTGAGGAGCCCAGGCACAATGGGAAGGAGAAGGACAGGAGGAAAGGCAGGCAAGGAGACTCTGGGGTTCCAGGTGATCTTGTATGTGAAAGTTCTGTATCCTCACTCACCAGCACAGACCAGAGCTTTGATAAATGTATGTCTGCATCATCCCCAAGGGCATTAGTCTTCTGGCTTCCAGCCCCCTCTACTTAGCTCAGAGCTCAGACACCTACCTGCACCTACTTGCCTGGTGAAGGGGACAGAGCTGTGCCCATGTGAGGGGCATGGCCCTTAGTCCACCCCACACTATGTGCTGTGTAGCCTGGATTCCCACTGTGACATATGGCCCAGTGTGCCAGGCACAGGATGAAGCCTCCAGAACCCCCAGGCCCCACACTGCACAGGTGTGATGGCAGAGGGGCCATGCTCCCCAAAAGTCATGATACTCCCCACCCATTTGCACCCAGGTGTGGCTGAGTCTATTCCCTTCAGTAGAAAAGGCAGACAAGGCATCCTCAGGTCAAAATTTATTTCACACCGCCTCATTTACAGCATGTTCAAGTACAAGTCTGCCAGCATACCTGATCCCTGGAGAAGGAGGGCACAGCGTGGCCAGGCACAAGGCAGGCCCATGTGGAGAAGACCTGCACCCACTTTGGCTTGGGGTTCCTGGGTGGTCCTTCCAAAGGCTGCCAAGCACAAAATATGTTATAAAAGGCCTCCTTATGTGCTCATAGTGGAAAGAGATGACAGGTCTGGGGCTGGGGACAGGGTTAGGACAGGATGCCATCCTGGACTGTGGGGTCAGCCTGAAGAGGGGCTCTCCAGCACACCTCCAGAACCCTCTCTGCAAACCAAGCTGCTCCTCAGCCTGGGGCTCTGAAGTGGACTCTGTACTGACTCCAGCACATGCTTTAAGAAATGCTCAGCCTAAACCCCATTTCACAGACACACAGGACAACCTCGAGCACAGCCGTACCCACACTCTGACCTGTGTAGCAGCCTGTTCAACCCTGCTGCACTGAAGGTCCAGGCACAGAGCCCTGACCACACTGGTGCCATGGGAATCCTCTGCTCCCCACTTTCATCTGGGTGCAAGGGGTCCAGATGTCCACTGCACTCACTTCCTGTTCATCACCCACCAGTTCAGGGCTAAGCCCTGCCCACCTGGCACCAGGGCTGCAGAATGCTGGGCAGCACAGAGGCTGCAACAGGTGTCAGCCCCAGCATCTCAGTGAAGCAACTTCGTTTGCTCAGGTTGGAACAAAATGCTTCAGGAAACTATGACGACGCCAACGTCAACGTGTTGAAAAATCAATAGTAAAGTCTATGCATTTAGTGGTTTAAAGATTAACTTTTGTTAAACAAAGAAATTCTTTCATCTCGCTAGCAGGAATAAGGAAGCCCCTAACCTAAAGTATGGAATGACCCTTCACTGTTTTCTATAGAAAAATACAAACTAGATTTTTTTTTTTTTTAAAACATAAAAAAGAACACAGAGCACCAGGACTGTCACATTGGGTTCTCAGGAGATATTCCCAGATGCTTACTGAAGTGGTCTGGGGTCGCTTTGTGCCAGGATTTGGGCCTGGCTGCCTGTGGCCTCTCAGACCATGCTGCTGCAGTATTAGAGGATGCTTGCCTTCAGGAGGGTGGGCTTTAAGATCCCCTGAAGGACATATGCATGTGTGGTGCCTGTCATCCCCAGCCAGGAAGTGACCAAGTGGTCCTGTACAGACCTGGCCCCTCGGGCTTGAAGCCACTGGACACCTGGCTGGTTGTTCTAGCAGCTCTCAAGAGACCTTCTCCTTAGTTTTGTTTTAAAGTGGTCTCAAGCTTATTACCTTAGGATACACTTAAAATCACCCCAAGGGTATGATACAGTATTTGTTCACAGAAGCAGAGTCAAGGGGCCCAAGAGTCACCTGACCTGCTTTCCACTAACATTTAAAAGTCTGAACCCTCAACAAATACAGCTGCCTGCACATGTGTGTGCACAGAGAAGGACCTAGAAAGAAGGATCACTGGGTCCCACAGAATCCACACTGGCCTTTCAGGGGTTCGCTTTCCTGCAGAGGGTGGTGACAGTGTGGAAGCCAAGACGCCTCTGCTTGGTCGCCACACTGTGTGGTGTGGTGTGAGGCCTGCCCTGAGGGCCCGGAGCACCACTGTGATCTCTGGCCATTGATCCCTGGGGGAGATGGGCACTGTCCCCCATGGCTGCTCAGGGCATTCGGTGGTGTGTGCTAGGCATTGGCAGGACTGGCTTGTGCATCTGAAAGCCCACGCACACTGTCCTTCCTTCTATACTATGCTTGGTCTTTAAAATCTTAAGCAGCTGAGAATCACTCAACAGCCAGAGATGGCTTGAGATTTTGTGGCAGAGGTGCCCATCATTTCCCAGATCTTTCCTCTTATTGAAAGTGGTGTTCACTTGGTCTTAGGAAGCACTGTTCCCACCAGCGCTGACATGCTGTGAAGCACAGGCCCTGGCAGACCTCCCCATCCCTGAGAGGGGCGCAGCCATCGTCCCTGTCGGTCCTGCTGTCACCGTGAAATAGCAAACTCTTGGTCCTGACAGCAGATTTGAGCCTTTTTCATATCAGACATAAATTAATCCAGAGGCTGAGAGCTCTAAACTTCCAGTTACAGAACATTCTTAAATTACAACTTCTTTAACTTACTTATCTCACATCAGAAGTAAACAGACAGGAAACTAAAGCCAGGGCAGAGGATGGGCCACCTGGGGGCTCTGAAGTGAGTCGTCAAGCATGAGCTTGGTCACGTGGCTGCTTCAGGCCAGGCAGCAGGACTTCCTCCACCAGGACCTGGACAAGTCCCTCACTTTGTCCGGAGTCCTGCTCTTACACTTCCTGGGCTGCTGCTGGGAGTCTGCATGCTGGATCCCAGCCATGATGGCGGCATCGAAGACCTCCTTGAGGTTTTTCTGAGTCAAGGCTGAGCACTCCACGTAGGAAGCAGCTTTGATTTCCTCTGCACACAGTTTGGCCGCCTCCTCGGGCACAGGCTTCTCCCTGCCTTTGTCCAGCTCAATGAGCACTTTGACATCTTCTCTGAGGTCTGACTGTGTCCCCACCAGGATGATGGGAGCTTTGGGGCAGTGGCACCGGATCTCAGGCACCCACTTCTCGTTGACATTCTGGAAAGAGGTGGGGCTCACCACGCTGAAGCAGAGCAGGAAGATGTCAGCATTGGTGTAGCACAGGGGCCTCAGCTTGTCAAACTCATCCTGCGACCAAACACACACCGGTCACCCTAGTTAGCTCTTGCCAGCAGAAGGCCCTCTTAACCTGCTTCCTGGAAGGCCTGGCTGTACCAGGAAGCCCATGGTCCCCCCAGGAAGAGCCAGCATCCAAAACTGCTTCACTGCCTGTCCCAGACACAGGCACAGCAGCTTCCACCCCAGGCCAACAAGGCCCTAGAGCCTATGGCCAGAGGCCCTCAGTGCTGTGATCACCCTGCTGAGCACGTGGGAAGGCGCTTGAGCAGTGGGTCTGGAGACTGCTTTTAACTGGCCTTCAGCCCAGAGTGACCCAGACTTACTATCACCTCTGGGGACTAACCACTCTTCTGAAAGTCAGAGCATTCCTGCACTGACCCCAGACTCCACCTGATCCTGCAAGACGTCTGTTGGCACAGCCCCTTCCTCAAGACCCCAGCCCTTCCCTCCCCATGACAGGGTGAACCATGCTGTTACCCGCCTGCCTGTCACCCACAGCACAAAGCATTGTTTCGGACCCAGATCAAGCCATAGCAGTGCTGGGGACTCTGTGAGGCCCCAGACACCAGCAATCGAGGCACTCTGTCCCTCGGTGTCCCTCACAGACACTGGTCATCATGCTCACATTCTGACTGTAGACCTTCCCTCCCTTCCTCCTTTTCTCTTAAACTTCTTTGCTCCTGCATTGACCTCTGCCAGCACCAGGGGCCTCCAGGCACAGGGTTGGGACAGATGAGCCAGAGAATGGGCACGCCCTGCACAATGAGGACAGCTGGACCAAATGTGGGAGTGGACCAGCAGTGGGTGCCCACTATGCGTGGATGCTCCTTTGCAATCACCACTAGTGGACACACACCAGACACCTCCCACAACCAGGCCTGGCTTCGAAGGCTGGGCTGTGGATAGCATAATGGATATGCCAGTCAGTACTTCCTCTAGTCGGACACCCCAGAACCTGGCAGCACCACGGTCAACCACCACTGAGAGCTCCCTCCTCCCCTAGGAGAATCCTGCACCTCTTGTTCATGAGTAAAACGCACATCTGTGGACATCGCCTACGGCATGACATCAAGAAAACACCAGGCACACCCAGGTCTCAGAACCACTGGCATTCCCTCACCAGCCCCATACAGTGTGCCACTCCTTGCCAGGCCTTCCTCTGCATGGAAGACTCCTTTGATGCCTCCTGCCTGCACTTCCTCCCTCTGAGGCCCCGAGTCTCCACCTGGGACAACAGCCAACCAGCCACACAGCAGGAATGAGCACAGCCTCTGCTCATAAGCACTGCAGATAGACCCTGAGTCAGGACTCATACCTCTTAGTGCCAACCCTGGGCTGCAAGAATCAATGCAGAAACCCAACCAGGATGTTCAGCTATGAAGACCTCTGCAAGAGCAGCTCCACCTGCCCTCAGGAGCCTGCAGTGTAGGTCTATAGTGTAGATGCCCCACAGGATTTGTGGTGGGATAGCAGATGTGGGCCAAGACCCACTGGTCAGGCTGATGTGCTACTTTGTTTTGTTAGTATGAAGCTTTTTCCAAGAGTCTCAGGGGTCAAAGGCTGAAGAATTCTGGACTGTGGGAGCAGACCCCTCTCCTTCAGTGATGCTCACCCTTCTTGTATGCTCCCTTCTGTCCACCTTCACCCTAACTATGCCTGAGACTGTGAGTCAGGCATTCAGAGCTGCATCTGGCATGTGTGGAGATCCACAGGCACCACAAGTGCCTTCCTCACTGATTGCCTCCTGGAGTAGCAGCGCTCCTGCTCACAGGCCATGGGGGTCAGTGGCTCATAGGCCACAGGGGTCAGTCGCTCACACTCCTTCCCAGAGAAAGGAGAGTTCCTTGGTTGGACCACAGAGAGCCTGGCAAGTATCACAGCAAGCCCTCAGACAGTAGCTGGCCAGACAGGACAAGGAGGGTAGAAAAGGATGACCACTCTGACCAGTCCTACCACTGTCATGACACCCCCTGACCGGCACCTTGAAGCAGACCTGACTTTGGCCAGCAACATGCACTTCTCTTATGGAGCTCTGCAGCTGGCTTTCTGTGGGTCTTTGGAGAACAGCAACTCCCAGCAAATGACATGGGACACAGGAGGACCATCTACAAACAAAGCCACCAACTTGGCACTGAGACCTCTTCCTGAATTATAAGCATCCTTTGTGAATGAGTTTCTAAAATGGTTCTTGTGCCCTCCTGACTTTTAAAGAAAAACTGTGAAGGAAAATTCCAACTCCTTTTCCACAATTCAGTCCCTTTAAAAAATGTTTTCTGGGTTAAAAACACTACTGTTTCAAGAGCCTGCCTGGAGCTTTCCACCAAGCCCACCACCTGCCCAGCAGAGGCCTTCCCCTGTGGTGCTCCTTTCCTTGGCGAGCTCCCAGACACCAGCTCCTCTTCCCAGGAACTTCAGAGCTGTGGAGGGCAGGCCCATGGCTAAGCTGCACACCTGGGGCCCAGCACTCCGCCCACCATCTGCTCGGAGCCATGTGGGCTCTGCAAGGCACTGTGTATATGCATGGCCAGGCATGAGTACCCAGCTCAGCACTGTCTCCTGGGGAAAGCAGCCTTCCCAGGGAGCCTGGTGGTGGGCAGGGATGCTGTGGGGAAGGAGCCTGGGATCTGTTCTTGGGGACGCCTTGTGTCTTTCAGCATTCTGTCTTGTTCCCAGGCTGCTGCTCCACAGGGGCCTATGGATCCTGGGCCACTCTTCTGCCAACCTTAACGATGGGAAAAACCTGGCCCCTCAGCTTACAAAGAAATGCCTTCCATGGCATTCAGAAAGAGCAAGTGCAGAAGGGACTGCACTGACTTTCTGGTCTCACAGCAAAGAAGTGGGGCTATGTTGGGGTCTCCCTCCCTACGAAGGGTATGAGATGTCTCAGGCTGGGCCTCAACCTGCTGCTGTTCTGAGAGGACCAAGGCTGCCCAGATTCATGTGACCTCAATGTCTGTACAATAAAATCTGCCCTTATACTGAACTGCTGTCCCAGAGTGGGTGAGCAGCTTGGAAGCCCTGGCTTGGATGTGGTACTGTTGACCCTGCAGAGCCAGCTCGCTCATAAGCGTGATATCCTGGGATGGCATCTCAGCAGAGCACACTTCTACCTGCCCGTGGAGCAGCCCCAGCATTGGGCCTGACTCCTCACCTACTAGAGAGACAAGTCCAACAACAGCCACCCAGCAAGCTCAGCACAGGTGCTCACAGGGCACATGCGAACTTGGGGGCTTGACCAACTGGGGATGAGGTGGGGTGACCAGGTGGAAACCTCTCCAGGGAATACCATGGGGACCCATGCTGTTCTTTCATCACTGCCTGGCTGCCTCCTAACACCCAGCCTCTGGACAAGAGTCCATGCCCTGGTCTGGAAAGAGCAAGGCACTGCTCATGCCTCTCTCCAGCTCAGGACTGCCCTGGCTACTGCCTCTGTGCTCCAGGGCTGGGGCTGATCCTGGAGAATCAACCATAGCTACAGAAGCAGATCCCTTACTGATGCATGCTTCACTTTCTCTTGAGCAAATTTCTTAAATATCTGGCTCTTTGGTCTTTAATATCACTAAAGCATCACAGCATGTTTCAATAAAACTAGAAAGTAAGGGATAACAGAAATTCCTGTAAGATAAGGGCTATTTCTGCCCAGGATCCCCTCCTGGCCAGATTGAAGGCGGCCAAACCCTGTTTTGCTAGTTCCAGAGGTGGCCTCCTCTGCTTCCTCCCACCACCCTCCAAAGGGGCCACAGCAGGGCAGGGCCTGCTCCACCAGGCTTCGCACAACCCAGTTACCAAGGGAATTGTTTGGAAATACAGTCAAAGGTCATCTGGAAGCCTTTACAAGGCTGCTTCCTCTCCAGCACTGAGTGGTAACATGATACTGACCTGTCCTGCTGTGTCACAGAGCTGGAGTCTCACAGGCCGCCCATCCACTGACACCACAGCTTGAAAACAAGACGAGATGATTATCAGGAAGTCTCTTAGCCCCAAACCCTCTGCTTCCAAACCCCTCTGCTCCAGTTCTGGGTCCTCCCAGTCCTCCTGTGAACTAAGTAAAACAAGGAGGCCCATGGAGCATTCTCCTACACAAACCCCAGTGCCAGGAGCCAGGCAGCAGACCCAGAGCCCCTGGTGGCTCCTCTGAAGGGCCTGTGAAGATTTTCTCACAGCCCTTGAAGATTTATTTTCCTGTCACACTTGTTACAAAGCCCTAAAAGCAACACAGAGGGGTAAGTGGGAAACAGTTCTGCTGTTTTACATCAGTGGGAAACCTCCGATAACTCTGTTTCCCTGGGAACAGCTGCCTGACTTTAGGGCTGATCCTAAAACTGTGGCCTTAGAGACTTGTGCAAACACAGGCTGCACATGGTCCTGTGCCTAGAAGAGGGCACCTCTCATCTCCCTCCATCCCCAAGGAGGACTAAACAGAAGAGGAAAAAAACCTGCCCAGCTTTCCCCCAGGTCAGCATGTGGGTGGGGAGGCCTGTGAGGGTCCTATAAGAATTAAACCACTTTATCCTTGGCTCAACCCAGTTGTTTACACGTATTCACACTAGTCAGCTGGGAGAGGCAAGCAATACAGTGCCTGGGAACCCCTCACACTATACCTTGTAGGTAGGTATCTCTAAGGTGCAGGAAATCAGGCCCTGCCAGCAGGAGTACAGAGATCAGAAAAGCAATTTTTTAAAAGGAGCAAGTCAGGTTGTGTTTCGCTCAAGTGTCTGTGAATTAAACTTTTTCTTAAATTCCTGAAAGAGTGAATAATCAAGATAAAGGAGCCCTTTATCTTCCCACGACACAGCACCACTTAGGTGCGAACTCGCAGGAGCTTAAAGAACAGCAATCCGAAACAGAGCCAGCGAGGGCGGAGCGCTGGCCAGGGCCGGTGCCGCCCTGGAGAAGGATGGTGGGGCGACCAGAGCCTCACCGGCACGCGGGGCCAGCTCACCGTGGCGAGTTCTCGGGTGTCTCGGAGCGGGGACGCGCGGGCGAGCCCGGC